TTTATTAAACCTGTAATAAATTTTCCTGAGCAGCTTTACTTTGGTTCTCTACTGCAGCATACTTTGGTTTTCCTCTTTCTGCTGTACAGACTGCTCTTTGTTTCCTTGATCAGACAGTCAGGCTGCAAAGACCCATTTGAGAAATTCAACAGTCTTCTCTGATTTCAGCCTTTTACATCTTTGACACATTTCCCCCTACTATTTCCTCTAAAATAGAGAACATGTTAAAGGAAAACAATATGCTCTCATAGTAACTCTGCCTCCTACAACTGATACTGACCCAAAGCATCAGTAATAAAATGAACAAGAGCTGGATTATGAATTCCATGATTAAAAGGAGGGTAGCTCAGAACCGCATGTTGCTGTGCTGGCCAGTGCAGTGCCTGCCCTGAGCCCTCTGCTGTGTGGCCTCTAATCCCAGCAGAACAGCAGTGAGGAAGACTTCAGTGACATTTAAATAGCAGATAAATGACCCTCATCACCTTTACTGATGCAGGCATCGAGCCACACTTAGAAGAAAAATTCTGCATCATATGACAATATAGGTTTGATGAACAAATTACCAGTTGATATATAAGGGTTCCTGCTATGAAGACAGTTTTTCTTAACAGCCTTTCTTGTGCTGAAATTATTTTATGGCAAATTAGATTATCACTCTGTTTCAATTTGAATATCTCACCCAATATTCAACAACAGTGACTGTCCTCAGACGTACAAACAGCATTTAAGTATGCCAGAGGTACAAAGCAAAAGCCTTGCGGATGGCAAGAACCCCATCGGATTGAACCAGGCTGAAGAGGATGTTTGTTTTTCTGCTTTCCAGATGGTAATTCATATTGCAAGTCAAATGAGTGCGACGGACTACTCTGTACGTTACTGGAATTTGAAGCAGTCATTCCACTGTTGGGACCTTCTTCAGCAGCTTTCCTCAGTTTGCTTTCTCTGAAAAGATCAGTGGTTTTGGACCTCAAGTGCCCTCTGTGCTCTAGAGGAATTGATAAGCAGCAAGGAAGTAGAGAGAAAAGAGCCCAAATCTCTTAAAGGCTCATACCCTAGACCTAAGGAATGCTGTAGTGGTGAGAGAACTCAAGAAAATGCACACAGATGTATATGTAAATTCTGCTATCTAAAAGAAGAGGAATTGCACTGAGAAGGTCTTCAACACTGCTGCGCTGCATACTTCAGCTATCACGCATTTGAAGAAATTAATTAACAGAAACTTGGCGATCTGGGAAAGGGCGAACCGCAGTGACAGTCACTATGGATGCTGGGGATCCTCGGGTGCTTGGATCACGATGCCCCTCTTGTGCAAACAGGCATACGATGGCGAAGTCAACCATCCTCCTCCGTGAGAGTATCCTGAACCCTGGCATGGACACACACTTGCGTAACGACTGCTCTGCATGTACGTGTTCATGGGGATGTACCAAGGCTGCCACAGCAGCAATTACCATAACTATGCCTTTACATCACTCCATAGCTTTTCCCAACGGGCTCACGGAATTACTAGAAGCGAGATGTGTGTATCTTTGCAGCTCCCCACAAAGCACACGTTGTAATCCCCGCCTCAGGGAGATGTGGCTGGCAGCAAGCCTGACGCTCAGGACTCTGCATAACGCGGTTCCTAAGCGCGTCCAAGGGCCCACATCGCGTTTAGGGTTTTACTGCACTCAGGTAACACAGACGTGGGAAGAAGAGGAAGAGAAGTGTGTTACGGTGTGAGGCGGTCGCGCAGGCAGAGCGCTGCAAGGAGGTTCAGTGCAAATAGAAACCTGGCTCTGCACGCCTGCAGTGAAAGGCTCAGTGTCTTGTAACACACATTCCTACTTGAAAAACGCATTAAATACCTCGGGAAAGGAAAAAAAGAAGTGTTGAAGTGTATCCCCCCTACTGGAAACGCTACTGCTGCAAATCGCACTAGGACTGGAACATTCCCGACTTATCTCCCCAGTATCCGTTACTGCCATTCAATATTCCAGGACACACAGCATTCCTGACAGCGCTTTCATGCCTGGTATGGCCCAGACATAAAATGTTATTTCAAATGAAGGTAAAAGGGCATGGTTTATGCCAGGAGTTTTCTTGTGTTACTAGATCAACGTTCAGCGTTCAGTGGGCTGGGGTGTTTCATGAAAATCTGACGTGCTGTTGCAGTTTTCGCAGGATCTGCTTTTGCGGGAGTGCTGCGCTCCCGTTACCGTTAAACCGCCCGTTTACACGGAGCTGTTTTAACGTTGCTGCTACCTGCGGTACATGAGATTCCTGCAGGGACCTTGGCCCGTGAACTCCTGGCAAAACAAAGCAAACAAACAAACAACCCCCCAACCCCTCTCTTTTATCAGGAATTATCAGGTATGGTTAGCGAGCTCGTGAGGCGAACGGGGCCGTTTGAGGGCCTGGGCGCCGCCTTCCCGCCCTCGCCATGGCGGCCGCTCCCGCGGCCCTCACGCG